GGGGGGGGGGGGGGGGCCCGTATGTACGAGACTAAATATCGGCTCCACCTCCAATAATGACAATCCTCGGGACCGACAATGGAAGATCAGAAGAAACGTGATTGGCCGTACACTGTCCAATCTGTGGTCACCGCTCCAATGAGAATCTCCGACATCATTTCTGGATCATCGCTGCTAGAAATATCTCCATGGTGTAGCCGGGCCCCGGAGCAAGATAAGAGCCAGGGGCCCCGAAATTCAATCCCAAATACATGCGCAAAACTGATAGTCCCTCCCAACTTATACCACCCGTCCCCTGCACCCCTCATACTCTAGCCCCTCCTCTGCACCTAATCACCCAACTACTCTAGCCCCTCCTCTGCACCTAATCACCCAACTACTCTAGCCCCTCCTCCGCACCTAATCACCCAACTACTCTAGCCCCTCCTCCGCACCTAATCACCCAACTACTCTAGCCCCTCCTCCGCACCTAATCACCCAACTACTCTAGCCCCTCCTCTGCACCTAATCACCCAACTACTCTAGCCCCTCCTCTGCACCTAATCACCCAACTACTCTAGCCCCTCCTCCGCACCTAATCACACAACTACTCTAGCCCCTCTTCTGCACCTAATCACCCAACTACTCTAGCCCCTCCCCTGCACCTAATCACCCAACTACTCTAGCTCCTCCTCCGCACCTAATCCCCCAACTCCTATAGCCCCTCCTCTGCACCTAATCACCCAACTACTCTAGCCCCTCCTCCGCACCTAATCCCCAACTCCTATAGCCCCTCCTCCGCACCTAATCACCAACTCCTATAGCCCCTCCTCCGCACCTAATCCCCAACTCCTATAGCCCCTCCTCCGCCCCTAACCCCCAACTCCTATAGCCCCTCCTCTGCACCTAATCACCAAACTACTCTAGCCCCTCCCCTGCACCTAATCACCCAACTACTCTAGCTACTCCTACGCACCTAATCCCCCAACTCCTATAGCCCCTCCTACGCACCTAATCCCCCAACTCCTATTGCCCCTCCTACGCACCTAATCCCCCAACTCCTATAGCCCCTCCTCCGCACCTAATCCCCAACTCCTATAGCCCCTCCTC